GAGGAAAGATGACACCTTGGTTCTCACCTGGGAAATTCAGGTGGATGGTGGAAGCACGTCCAGGAACAAGCAGGATGGGGAGCAGAGGGGCCTGGAGGGGCAAGACCGAATGAACGTGCTGTGCCGGGAGACTGGGGATCTCCTTCTGCAGCCCAGGGAGCCCCGATGCCAGCGAGATGCCTGTATCTATAAACTACTCCAAAGTTACGCCCTCAAACAGGGTAGAGTCTGAGCACCTACAGCTTCAAGCAATCGGAAAGGCCCCCGATGCCTACACCACAGCAGGGCAGGGGCACGCACGGCAGAGCACCGGGCCCACAGGGGTTCCCCCACCCGGGCGGGACACCTCCTCCTCCCGAGGCTGACAGGCTGCCCTGAGCGAACCCCGGGAGGCTGGGTAGGCCGGCGAAACAAAGCATGGGAGTGAGGGGGCTGACCCCTTCCCGGCCCTGGGCCACCGTGGGCTGGCTCTACCCGGGCAGGTGGCCAGTGAGGGTACGATGACATCAGGAAGAAACAAGAGGCAGAGGCAAGGAAGGTGGGGGCTTATTTCTCCAACAGGAGGACACACTGTGCCCCCCTTGGCACTTGGGCCCACCATCACCAGCCTCTCCCCCTCCCCTATACCCCGTCACCCCTCCTTTGTGCTCCATCCCCTCCGGTCCCCTGTTCCTGTCTGGCCTGGGAACAGTCAGACTGGCCTTGTCTCTGTGACCACTGCTGGGCTGCTGCCCAGGGCTGGCTGGGGACCCAGAGGTCATGCAGGGGGGCAGAAAAAGCAAGTGAGCAATCGAGTAACAGCTGCGCCGGCAGACCTCGGAGCCGGGTCTCTGGGAGTGGGCCCCGTGGTTCCCCCGGGAGGGGACAGCACGGCAGAGAAACCAGGGTCTGCGGAGCACAGGCCTTCTGTTGAGAAGCGCTGAGGTACAAAGGCTGGTGTCCAGCATCCCAGGAAATCACTACCCGCCCGGAATGGGGTCCCAGCTCTACCACAGACCCCACCCTTTAACTGAAGTTCTTGAGATGATACAGACTTGACTTTTTTATCCAAAAGCTAAAAAAAAAAAAAAAGGATGTATATTTTGAATATTTCTCAGTCTTCTCAAAACCTGGGTTGTCTAGCAGTTTTACTTACCCAGAATCATTCTGGAAGCCATGAAAGTAAAGGCATATTTCAACAGATTTCTAGTATCTGAATAGATGTCTTGGTGATAGTTAATAGCTGTAACTTGCAGTTAGCAAAGAACGGATATACCAGAAAATAATGTGGGGAACAGAGGAAGGTGATTTCTGAACCCCAACCCTGCAAAACCAGAAGGTCCTGGCAACCCCAGTGGTGACCAGGAGATTCTCGAAAGTGCCCTGGTCAAGGGTAAAGTGACCAAGAACCCAATTCAGCTTTTGAGATTCACGCCACCAGCGTTCAGAACAAGAGAACACGCAAGTCAGAGAAGGGACACAAAGAGGAGGTGGTCCACGGGAATTCCACGTGGAGGAGAGGCCGCTGCTGGGGAGACCAGAGCTGGGCGGAGGAGGGAGGCAGGCAGCCCGGGGCTACAGCAAGTGAGGGGGAGTCAGGGGCAGGCAGAGGGACCCACCAGAGCTGCTGCCAGGGGCCTGTCACTCCTGCGCTTATTGTCCCTGCGGGGTGGGCGCACTGAAAGGCCCAGTGCGATCAGAACAGGATCAGGGGAGCTACCTTGTGGGGCCTGGGGAGGCTGCCCCCAGCTTTCCACATCTTTCCTGCCTGTTGGTCACTCATCATTTCCTCAAACACCTTTTACCAAACTGGTCTTAATGCCCCAGAGACCACACGTCAGGCTTGGGTGCTTATCAGTGCAGCTGTCCAGGTCTTCTAGGGTTACGGCACGTGCTATGGGCAGAGATCTGTGGACCGGGTGCTAACACTTCACACGACAAGAGAGCCCAGCACAAGACTGCCAAGAGGAGGCGGCCACTGCCCAGGAACAGGAGTGGAGAGGCCTGGGGGACAGTGGCAGGTGGTGGGGAAGCCTGGCCTGAGGCCCAGGGGGCCCTGCTCAGGAGGCAGCCAGGTTCAGTTAAATGTAGGGGTGACTGGCTGATCCTGAGGACATGTGCTGGGCTGGCTATTGTCGCTGCCCTCTGGCCAGCTCTCCCCCGACCACGGACCTTCAATGCTAACGTTCGAGGCCACCTTCTGGAACACATGCTAGGGTTGCCAGCCCCTGTCCTCCAGGCGGGTCCCCTCTGTGCGAACCTCTTGGACTCGCTTTTCCTGACCTTCAACCTTTACCTCCCTGAAATCCTAACTGTCTTTCAAGCCACAGCTCCACCTGACCCCGTCCCTGCTCCACAGCCCCTGGCTTCCTGACGATCAGGAACCCTCAGGCCCTAGGCCCTCACTCCCGCCTGTCTCAGCCTGTCTCTCTTGTGCTTATCTCCTTCTGCCGGCAGCCTGGCAGGCTGTGAGCACGTCTCAAGGATGCTGGGGCCTGCCTACTCCCTCTGGGTCTGTCTTGCTGCCTGACCCACACTAGCAGATGCCCTGTGCTTATTAAGTCACTTATCCTGGGATCCAAGTAAAGGGAACAACAGTGCTTTTCAGCACCCACTTCAATTAAAACTGGTCAGGGCGGGTTTACTGCTCTACAAATTCCAGAGGTTTTCAGTGGTTAGCATCTTCCTGTACAAGTGCCAGGTCACTGACAGCATGAGGTGTCTTCAGCTTCGACAGCTGCTGTATGCTGTATTCCCAAGTGCCACCCCCCCCCCATGGAGTTCCACGCTGGGGCGATGATACGGGCCCAGGAGCGATGGAGTAAGGGCATTCGGGAATGAAGGGCTGCTCTGTTGGTAACCCAAAGCCCTCCGTCTGGGCTCTGCTCAGAGTGTAAGCAGAGAATGCATGTTAGCATGACCCTACACTTAGGGGAAAAACAGTCACGAGCTAGGATTGTCCACAGGTTCTGCATGACATGTGAAAGGAGCGTGCCAGGAGGGCCTGCTAGTGAAATAGAGGGTGTCTGTGTGCCAGGGCAGGGCCAGTGTGGGGAAGGGGTGCTCAGACCTCCTGTACCAGAGGGCCAAACGGCTCTTGATGTTGGGCTGGGGATGGGGCTGTCCTCTTGGTGAAGTAAAGCACCTCCAGTAGCCGACCCCTTGGGCTCCTCCATGGAGTGCGCACTGAGAATGCAGCATTTCTGACCCAAGACGCCTTAAGACTCCCGTGTGCCCCAGGCATGAACACTAAGACATCCTCATGCCTGAACTGAATGAAAATGCTCCCAAACTCCCATCAGCACTGTGGCAAACAGTCCAGCTCACTGACAGCCCCGTCGCCCTAAACTGCTCAAAGGGGACATTGTGGGCACTTTCTTAAGATATCTCACACTTTCTATTCATAGAGGGGAAAAACAGTCACGAGCTAGGATTGTCCACAGGCCAAGTTCTGCATGGCATGTGAAAGGAGCGTGCCAGGAGGGCCTGCTAGTGAAACAGAGGGCGTCTGTGTGCCAGGGCAGGGCCAGTGTGGGGAAGGGGTGCTCAGACCTCCTGTAGCAGGCGCAGGGCTGCTGTGGGCTCTCAAAGGCTGGGCCCTACCGCTTTCCAAGAACTTCATAGCAGGCGGGGCCCCCTCAAGCTGGGCATGGGATGGCTCCCCAAGAGGGGAGCCAGACGGGATCACACTGGGCACTTGAGCTTGGAAGGGTCTCTGAAAGTCACCAGGCCAGCCTCATCAGTTTTGGAGGGAAAGAGAAGCCCAAGGAGGGTAAGCCATTTGCTTAAATTCTCAGGCACAGAATTTGAACAGAACCAAGACTAGAATCCAGATTCTAAGAGCAAAAGCAATAATAAACTTTCTAAGCTTACCATGTGCGTGGCGGTTTCCTGGGATTTTACTTAATCCTCGCAATCACAAAATCAGAGGCAAGGACAAGTGTAATCCCAAAGGAAAGAAACAGGCTGTGAAGGGTAAGCAAGTGACTGAGGTCAAACCGATCTTAAGTGGCGTCCAAATGTGGTTCCATCCCAAAGTTCTTCCCCTACTGCCTGGTTTCATTTTAGCAGATTAAAGGGATAATGGTGGCCATTTAAGTTCTTGGATGGACGCAAAGACAACAGACCAGCACTGTGCCCCCTGAAGTAATAGTGTCCCTGAAGTTTCAGAAGTAAACTGTTTGCAAAAACAGCTGCATTCAGGCTCCCTGCACCCAGGCCCCTTCCCATGCGATCTGGCAGTGGCTCCCACCGAGAGGCAGGGTCTGCTTCCCCGTTCCCAAAATCTGGTCTGACTTTGTGAATTAACCAAGCGAGTGCAATGGAAATGACAGTGTGCCTATTCTGAGCCTACCCTTCAGGCCCTGTGCATGCTTCTATTTGTTTCCTTGGAACCCTGCTAGCTGCTGTGTGAACAAGCCCAGGTTAGCCTGATGGAAGCAGACGGATCACATGGATCACAGCCCAGTGAGCCCAGTTGTCCCAGCTGAGGTTCCAGAGATGTTAGGGAGTTTGGCCCAAATCAGCCATGTCTGGGCGAGATCAGCACAATCGCCCTACTAACTTGTGTCCTAAGCAATGGCTACTGTTGCTTTAAGCCACTAAGTTTTGGGGTAGTTTGTTATACAGCAAAAGTTAACTGATACAGCCCTCAAACCCAAACTCTGTCATGATCTGGTAAAGCCTGTTCTCCATGGCTTTGCTTCCTATGTGAAGGATATTCCTGTTGAAACATAGTCTCAGTGGGAGATCGGAATAAAAATTCCAAGACATTTCTGTTTTGTATGCCTGATAGCACTGCAAGTGTGGCTGCTACCGTTTCCCCATCCGCACCCCCACTCAGCCCCACCCACCCATTACACAGGCCCTAAGGCCACAGAGAAGCAACCACGCATACCCGGCCCGAAGAGCTGCAGAAGGACAGTCAGCAACAGGAGCAGCCCGCGCGTCGGGAGGCACAGGCTACAGAGAAAGATCATGTTCACCAGCTTGTGAATTAAGAGCGGCAGGGAGCGACTCACCGAGGGCACAGGTAAGTTGCCGTGCCGGCTGAGAAAGGAGTTAGAGACGGACACACTGATGCCCTGAGAGGCACTGCTGTCCTCGGGGGTGAAGGCCACTTTAGTTTGCTGGACACAGTAGGAGACAGAGGAGAAGGAAGCAGCAGCATAGGAGGCCTGCTGGACAGAAGGGACAAGAGAGAAGACAGGGAAGGAGGGAGAAAAGCAGAGAAGTCAGGCATGTGCACAGAGGCTAAAACGGGCTGCTACCTAATTCTGCTGGAACATTCTGGAGAGGGATGGCTTTTGGCTCAGTCCAGGGATCAGAGATATCCCCGAGGGTGACCTGGATGAGAGGGTACCCTCCTTCTTCACCTCCTCATGTCGATTTAAAAAAAGTTCATTTTCATGCAAACCGTGTCCACTGGAAGTAGTAGTCAGGTGGAAGGAGGCCACCCAGGCCTGGAGCCCCAGATCTGGGTGTAAGACCTGGCTTTAAACCCTGGCTCGTCCACTCACTCAGGGCCTTGAGTTCCCCCTCTGGGGGGCAGACCATGTAGTTATTTGTGCTTTAGCAGACTGTGGGCTGGAAGCCAGGCTGCCTAGGTTTGAATCTGGGCCCTGCCATTGTGACCTGTTTGGCCTCAGGCAACCTCTCTGTGTCTCAGGTCTTCATCTGTAAAATGGGGCTGACACTGTGGGGGGCTGTGTAATGCAAAGCACTTGGAACCATGGCCGCCACAGTGTACATGGGCCAACAGGCATGAGTGATCCCCACTCCCATGTCTATGTGTGACACAGGGACGATGTCCTCCTCCACTAAGAGGGATGCCGAGCAGCCGGCACAGGGCACGCCACGTGCTGTGCCTGCACTTCAGTCGGAGTTGAACTTGGCCCCCTGATCTTCCACTTCTAGTGGTGGGAGAGCTTCAGTTAAGTCTCTCTGGCTCTCTCAGCCTCAGTTTCCTTAACATGGGGGTGACAGGGGCTATGATGAGGATCATGAACCCAAATGGAAGCCCCAGGGCTGACCCGAGGAAGCACAGTGCCTGACTCCGGGCCCCCCTCACGATGCCCTGGCAGCGTGGGGAAACGGTGCACAGGGTTCAGACAGGCTCTGGTTCCAAGCACGCTCGTTAGGCATCTGTCCTCAAACAGTCTGCAGCCTGTGGGCTCCACAATACAGAGAAGGTGCCCAAGGATGGCCGATGGGCACCTGTGGACACCAACAGGAGAGGCTGAGAATATTTCAAATCTCCAGAAAATCTGGCTCAGCTATTTAACCAAATCCTAGTACAGGCGTTTACCCTTTTGTGGTAAAGATCCTTTTCTGAAATATCTTCTCAGCAATTTAGATTCACATTCAGGCATATTCACCTGACGGGGGGAGTGCAGGGCAGGTGAAGAACTGAGACCCTGAGGGCAACTTGTGGGACACAGCTCATCGGTGGCAGGATGGAATCCCACCTCTGAGCTCAGCCTCTTCCCTACTAGACCAGCTGTCCTGCAAGAGGCTGGCTGTGGGTCTGCCTGGTCAGCCCAAGCCCACAGAATACAGGAGGGCCCAGGGACTCCTGGGGCTGGGCATGGGCTAAAGGCCAAATTATAGGGCTGCCAGGCCCCAAGCGGCTGTGAGGAGTAAACCAGGGACCTTTGTCCCTTCCACAAAGTTACAGCAGCACCTTCATGTCCTTTCACACTGGATAAAAGTTGGCGCAGCTAGACACACTAGTCTCCTCTCTGGTGGAAACACTACCAGATCGGCCCGCACAGAAGCGAAACAGTACGGGTGCAAAGTCAGGAATCCCCTCTGGGATGAACTCTTTCTGGAAAGCACGGCTGGGAGTTGAAAACCTAGCCAGTCACGTGGTTAGCAAACTGGTGGCACTGAGAAAGGGTTTGGAGGCACGCAGCAGACTTGCTGTCTGCTCTCGCGCCAGGTCCCAGAATCTTCCCGGTTGTGCACGGCAGGACAGCCTGCCTCTGTGCGGACCTGGGCCCCACCGCCGAAACACAGACCTTACACAGGAGGTGTTTTCTAAAGGAGGAAGGGTGCCCTGCCTGAAACACAGAACGGCTCTGTTGAAGGCCACCCTGCTCCAACGGAGCTTGTTTGCACTGGGCCATCCCCAGCCAGGGTGGGATGTCAGTCACTCTGAACAGTCAGGCCCATTATGTAAATCAAGTCCACAGATGGCTGTACACAGACTGTGCCCTGTGCTTTGATTGAGTCCCTCCTTTCTGGGGGGTCTATATTGGAGCCAAAGAAGAGAGAAATACATATAAGAGACTGTCAGTAGGGGAAGCAAACATTCTGAGTACCAGCCAGTCCCAGCTGCATGGGCTGCTTTGGAAAAGAAAGACACCTCCCACTCAGGCTGGGGAGATGGCCAAGTAGGAGATGGTTGCATGAGCTTGTCAGGAGGAAGTGAAAGCAAGGCTGGGCTGTGGCACGGCCAACACCAGCCTGGCCCCAGCCGGGAAGGAGAGGGTGAGACCTGCCCCTGCAGGAGGCCAGTGGGGACTGGAGGCTCCGCGCTGGGGCAGGACAGGAGGGAGACCGGGAGCAGCCGCTTACCAGCTGCCGCTGCTTGGGGGGCAGGGCGGGGGGTGGGGCCAGCTCCTGCAGGGCGTCTCCACTGCTGAAGGAGTCGTTGAAGCCGTACACCTCCATGAGGTGCTTGTTCTTCTGCTGGTAGATATGCTCATTCTGCGGCGTCTGGTAGAACACGGAAGGCTGGGGCTCCGAGTAGTCCTCGAGCAGCTGCATGTAAGCCAGCACTGCAAAACACACGGTGGGCAGCCTGTCGCACGCTGCCACTGGGGCCAGCTGGAGCCGGGGTTGGGGCCCACATAGGAACTTCCCTCCGCATTCTCCTCCCAGCAGCCAGGGCGAGTTCCACGGAAGCACCCTGGGGCTGTGAAACTGTTCTGTGGGGCACCGCCATGGTGGGTACCTGTGCAATGAATGCACACCGCCAGTGACCCCAGGTGAGCCCCCAGAGCAACCCTGGTGAACCACAGCTACGGGTGATGATAACGATGCATCAGTGTGCGATCCTGGACTGCGACAACCGCAGCACTCCGGGGGAGATGGTGGCAGTGGGTGAGGCCCTGCAGGTGTCAGAGCAGGGACAGATGGGATCTCCCTGTACTTTCCACTCAGTGTTGCTGAGAATCTAAAAGTGCTCTAGGAAACAGTCTATTTTAAGAAAAAGCATATTGGGCATTTCACCCCCTTGCTGAAAAGCCCCTGGGGGTTTCCAGACATACTCGAGGGCTACCGATTCTATGTGGGGTGCATGGGGCTGGGCAGGGCCAGTCACTCAGCCCCCAGCACACTGTCAATCCATTCCTGCAACTCCTCAGGAGTTTCTGCATGTGCTCCCGCTGCTTCCCCAAGCCTGGCTGAGCCTGACTCTTCCCTCCTGCGGTTCAGCTTTCCCTGAGCACCCAAGGGCAGCCTGCCTAGGCCCCACCCTGCACCCTAGTCCTGGCCCTTAGCTCTTTCGACAGGATCAGGAGCTGTCCTAGTGCTTTTCTACCGTCTGATTTTCACCAAGCATGTTTTCACCACTGTATTGGACACCAACCCAGGTGCAGAGACTACATGGGCCAGGAAAATGCACATGTGGAGCTCACACCTTCCCCAGGGAGACAGAAAAGAGGCCAAGGTGGGGTGAGCGTCAGGGAGAAACCTGGCCGGTGGAGAACAGAGAGTGGGGGGTGGGGGGGATGCTCCTGCAGAATATGGATGAGCTGTGAGGAGGGCTTTCTGCACCGGAGCTGTGGGCCAGCAGTCAGTGAGGGGAGTGAGGCCTTACCCGGGCGACCACGTGGGGGCAGTGGGATGGGGCAAGGAAGCAGGCTTGATGCCAAACTAGCAGGAACCCACCAACGGGCTCCCCCCAGAGGTGGGCCTGGGGCTGCTCAGTCTTGACAAGATGATTCTGGGGCTGCTGTGGTTGTTCAGGTGAAAGAATCATGCAGGCAGTGGAAGTAGTGACTGATTTTGTTCAGGATATATTTTCAAAGCAAAAGGCACAGGATTTACTGCCCTGCACTCAAAAAACAGAAGATCCAGGGGGTCAGGGCCCACATTTGTCCTGTCCACCACGCTATCATTAGAGCCTGACACACAGTATGTGTCCCAAAGTATTTGTAGATTGAATGAATGGAACACATGTCATCAGTCCTTACCTCAAGGTCCAGCTGCAAGGATAGCACATCCTTAGGAGGGACAAATGGTGAGAGGTGCTCAAATTTCAAAGCATCCCTCCTCTCTTCCCCCAAATCCTTTCAGAAACCCCAGCCCTTGCCAGCCCTGCCATCTGAAGCTAGGTGGCTGGCCAGCCTGGAGCTGCCTGTACCTCTGGGCAGCCCAGGGCAGGCTCCCTCCCCAGCGCAGTGGGTGTCACTGACAAATGGCATCACCACCTCCGGCTGTCATGACTCAGTGACCTCGCCCTGTGGCACCCTCCACCCTCATGTGAGGGCACATCTGACTTCTGGGGTCAGTGATCTGAGCCCCACATGCAAAGCCTGGCCCTTCTGAAGACCCTAGAAGGCCCTGGGGAAAGCCACCGTTTGGAGCTGTGCCCAGTCATCCTTATGAAGCTGTGAGAGCTGGGCTGGAGCAAAGCCCTTTCTCCAATCACACCTGCCTGTGAGGACTGGTTCTTGCACTTGATGCCCCAGGGCACATCTAGGTCAAGGCAGGCCTGAAATCCTGCAGGGTCCCTCCTTTTCTAGGTCAGGAGGGAGCTCCAGGCGTTAGGCTGTTCCCTACCCACGTGGATGTGCCTGTGTCTGCAGGGAAAGCTCTGGCTCACCCCAGGCACCAGCACTAGTTATTCTCTCACACAGCTGTTATGCCCCCTGAACAAGGGTGCTGGAGTTCTGACGAGGTGGGCAAGAAATAGGGCCCTGGCCTCAGAAGCGGAGGGAGTTCAGCCTGCGTGCGGCAGTCCCGGGGACGGCAGGGTCGTGAACCCCCACGATAATGCACGCTCTCCCCTTGGGTCATGCCACAAGTGCCATGAGCACCTGCCAGATACCAAGAAAAAGTGGCAAGGACAATTTTTCTGGGCTTAATTTTGTATTTTCAAATAACCATGAAGTCAGGGGCTTAATGGAGACTAAACAAGTCACAGAGTTTAGGGACAGAAACGCTTTGCTGAAGAGAGGAGTCACACAGGTGGGGAGACGCTCTTGCTCCCTGCACCTCATGTGGGGTCAAGGGGGGTGGGAAATGGCTCTCTCCAGGCAGGTCTTTGGGACACCCTTCACCGAGGGATGTTCAAAGTCACCTTCTCTACTTAAAAGACCCATGAGCTCGTATTGGCTCCAACAGGCGCTGAGCAAACTCGGCTGTAAAAGGTGGGCAAGAGAAAATTGGCTGCTGGGAGAAAAGTGCAGCTCATGGTGCCCTGTGAGGCCCACAGACCTTTTCTTTAATGACACACAGTCAGGTTCTACAGGAAGATGCAAGCCTTAAATGCCTGCCAGTTGTACCCTACAAGGATGAAACACAACCCCTTCTGCTTGACCCAAGTGGGAAGTTGAGGAAGACCTGAACTCCTGATGTCAGAGTCCTTGTAGAGACCTGCTAGCCAAGCACAGAGAAACAAGCTTCCAGAAAAAAGGACAGTCTGTCTCTGGGGCAGCCCAGCCCAAGGGCTCAGAGACTAGAGTGGCCCAGTGTCACTGGGACTGCTCAGCACCCGGCACTGAGCAGCACCTGGGCTGGGGGCACCCTCGGGGCATCAGAACAACCCAAAGGACGGGGACGCTCTATGGCACCAAGACTCTGTGCACGAGCTTTGTCCAGAGCCAGCTGAATATAAATAAAGGATGCTGATTACCCTCTTCTCCCCCATAGCAACTCTGTGAGGAGTTTTCCATAGCACCACAGACTAGAACCCTCTCCAGGCGTCCCCTTCAGTGGTGAAGCACAGACGTGAGGCTAACATGAGCCTTGGGCGCCTGGCATTTGGGGTCCTAGCACAGGCACAGAATGACTACTTACTACACAGGAACCACTACTGAAACCCATACAGGGTCTCCCCCACGCAGGGTCTCCCCTCCACAGGGTCTCCCTCACACAGGGTCTCCCCTCCACAGGGTCTCCCCCCACAGGGTCTCCCCCCCACAGGGTCTCCCTCACACAGGGTCTCCCCTCCACAGGGTCTCCCCCATGCAGGGTCTCCCCCACACAGGGTCTCCCCCTCACAGGGTCTCCCTCCACAGGGTCTCCCCTCCACAGGGTCTCCTCCATGCAGGGTCTCCCCCACACAGGGTCTCCCCTTCACAGGGTCTCCCTCCACAGGGTCTCCCCTCCACAGGGTCTCCTCCATGCAGGGTCTCCCCCACACAGGGTCTCCCCCACACAGGGTCTCCCCTCCACAGGGTCTCCTCCATGCAGGGTCTCCCCCACACAGGGTATCCATGAGGGTGGGCCGGACCCCTTCCTCCTCAGCTCTGGGGCAGTGTACCTGCTGGGGAGACACAAGCAGCCTGCTCTGAAGCCTGCTGATCTTGGGCAAGGCTTCGAGCTCCGGTTTCCTCATCTATAAAAGGGGCGCTAATAACAGCTGCCTGGCCAGGCTGTAAGGACTAAAGGACACAGGGTGCGCGTGAGGCTTTACCCCACGCCAGGCCACACCTTACGCTCTTAGTTTGAAAGGTTTGCACTGCAAGTGCTGTGGACATGGATGGACGGGACAAAGCTTGAAAGTGGGTTTCTAAATTAACAGAAAATATTTTCAGCAGCTGGAGACTGGAGGCTGTAGGGAAGGAAACAATGGATGCTTCTCCCTCTCCTCCTCTTTTCTACAGCCCCTGCTCGAGGACTGCTGCCCCACACCTGTTCCAAAACCTGCTAGGAGAGGCTCCTGGCCCCACTACCAGGCATACCACCTATCTGCTGCAGTTTGCACAGATGCAATCCTGACTTGCATTCTGGGTTCAGAGCATTCCTGGGAAAGGAAAGGGCGTGAGCCCAGAACGGCACGCTGCTCAAGTCAAGGTAACACGGGTGAAGGGGAAAGGCCAACAGTCCTTGGGACACGTGCAGCGAGAAACACTCCCGGCCCTGCTGTTTGCAACTCCCTCCACTAGTGCCCTGGTTTCTAAGGAGCAAACTCAATCAGCAGCCCTCCAGGGCCAGCATTCCCTCCAGCTGGGGGACACTCCACCGAGGCCATTACACAAGCTGACGGCTTCCACCGAGGAGCTGGGGAAACGCTACACCCTCGGTGGCCACCTCCGCTGGAGGCCTGCCCAGCTGGCCCTCAGGGTGATCCTCGCATGTTTAACCGGGCCAGCTCCCCTTTCTTTGAGAGCAGAGCCAATCAGATGCTCTCATTTGGGAATGTGGAATGGAAATTTGATTTGTATGTGGTAGAGGTTCTTTGCCGGATGCTTCCACTGAGGCCAGGGAATCCTGGGCTGTGGAGCTGAGGTGGCTACACTCACATCTAAATGGTGACAGTCAGTCTGCCAAAGAAAAATGGAGTGGGGGGTGGAGAGAGAGGCCATGTGGAGCAGTGGGGGCGGGGGGTGGGCAGCAGAAGAAACCACTGCCCGCGAACTCCACTTAGGAATTGGAAGGCAAATTTACAGTTGGAAAATAGTCAAAATATCAAAGTCCAAAACTTCAGCTCTGCTCCTCAGTCCTAATAACAACATATGTTAAAATATGTGGCCTAAGGAGTATCCTCAGCAACTCCAACCAGGCCATCTCAGAGTCCAAGTCACCATGTGACATGTCAGGGTCTGCAAACAGAAGACAGAGTGGAAGCATGAGCTCTCTCAACAGAGCCCTGCATGCTTTCAGGGTCCTCAGGAACTCTCTCTGTGCGCAGGGCAAGTTCTTCTTAAATTCAAATGTCTTGCTTTACCTAGAGGTTGTAATGCTGTCCTGAAGCTGTGACACTCATTTGTCACTGTGTTCAGGCCAGGTCAACTGCCTGCCATTTAAAAGACACCAAACACTCGGGCTCTGGGGAGACGAGGCTGAAGGTTTGCTGGAGACCACAGGAGAGATCAGCTTATCGGGCTCTAAAAACAATCACCAGCAAATCACCAGCATTGGCAAAACAGGCTCCCAGAAGTGTCTGTGCACCTGGGGGCCTATCTTTTATGAAATTATGAGGCTCTGGTCTGACTTTGGTCTAATGCTTAAATAAAATATAACACCATTTTAGGCTGCAAAACTTACTTTCTGACAACAGTTCAACAAAAACTTACTGTTTTTGTTTTTCTTCTCTGGTAGAGGAGGTGGTTTTTCTGAGTCACCCGTTGATCCAGGAGCAGTGAAATCACCCCCAAATCCGACAGAGGCTGAGGAGCCCGCTTGCGGCAAGGGGAGAAGAGCAGCAAAGGGCGTGAAGGGGGTGGGCTGGACTGCGGCGGGGGTCGGCAGGTCGTCCTCGGAGATGTTGTCATACTGTGAGGGGTGCCGCTCATACGACACCCTGCAGCTGGAGCTGTCCGTGGTCTGGGAGGCCGCGCTCCTGCGCTTCTTCTCGGGAAGGGCAGGTGGCATGTCTGGCTGCTGCCCTGGGGCCAAGGGCCCCTCTGGCTGGGGACAGTTGCCTAGAGGCAACTGGAAAGGGTGGCCAAGAAATGGAGCCGCAGACTCTCCCGAGGACTCCGGCAACGGGCTGAGGTTGCAGGCCACTTGCTGAGGTATCTGGTCCGCGTTGGAGAGGTCTTGCTGAAGGAACTCGTAGTCAGGATCATAGTGATCTGCATGCACAACAGGAAGCACACACCCATGAGCCAGCACCCTGCAGAAAGAATGCCCCGCCCCTCCCACCTTTACCCAGTCCCAGTCATTAGCGTGAGAAAAAACGTGTCTCCCATTTCATCCCACATAGGCTCTCACTTTATTTTATATTCTTCATTCTTCTCCCTATTATAAAAGTAAAACCAGATGGGAATATGGCTCTTTGTTATCCTATTCTTTGTACTTTCTTTATTTCTTAAATTTCTTACTTAAAAAAAAAAAAAAGCATGACCACTGTAGAAAGCGTGGCAAGAAAAAACCTACCATGAAAACAAAAACCATCTCTAACTCCATAATCTGACTATAATCTCTGTTTACAATTTGATGTATTTCCTTGGAAGTCTTGTTTTCCTCCCCCAGGATTTTTTTTTTTTTAATCCAAACTGAGAAAACACCATGTAAGTGGTTTTGGATTTTGTCCACTGATCAACATGCCACAATTTATTTTTTAGTAGCTCTGTTTTATTTTACCAAATGGATGTATCATAGTTCATCTGATTTCCTACCACTGAGTAGTTAGACTGTTTCCACATTATCACTACTAATAAGGCTGAGATTAATATCCTAGGATAGAGGTCTTGCTATAAATCTCTGATTACGTCAGTAAGATTAAACTCTCAGAAGTGAAATGTCTGGTTCAGGGGGCATGAACAGCTTAATGCTCTAAAGCCTCCTGCCAAGCTGCGTCTCCACCTTTGCTCCTGCCCACGCCTATGAGGAGGTCGGCATGTGCTGCTCACCTGCCTTCACCCTGTCAGGAGCCATCCTGGGCTCTCCCCTGCATCTGTAGCTCTGAGCACAGATGGCTCTTACTTTTGGCAGAGGGAGTCGAATTACACACTGCCAGATCAACCACAGTAACAGCTACCATTTGAGTGTCTCCTGTGTGGGTGCACACTGTTATTGATTTAAACTTTCAACCTCCTTGACAGAAAGATATTGGTAGCCTCATTTTGCAGATGAGGAAACTGAGGCTCAGGTTTTGAATGACTCAGCCAAGGTCATGTAGCCCATGACTGGCAGCACTTGCACGACCCCAAAGATGCTACCGAGAAACGACGAGACAGGAGTGGCGGCTAAGGTGCCCGCGGCTCACCGAGTGTTTCACAGCTTGTGTGCCGGGAGCACTGCCCACTGTCCCTGTCCAGAGAGGACAGCTGCTCGTCCGACTTGCTGAGCTTGCCTATGCTGCTGCAGGGGGACAGGCGGGGCGACTCTCCACCATATGAGTGGCTGCCTCCCGACAGCCGCCTCTGTGCGTAACAGTCCATGTCAAAATCCTCATGTGGAAAAATAAAAACAAACCCAAGTCACTTTTGAGAAATGGTGGCAGAGACCAGGGGAGGGAATCAGCATGTTTACTCAGAGAAGGAAAGACGGCCAAGCTCAAAAGCCTGTTGGACAGGCCCATCTTTGATGTAATCAGTAAAATGCGGCATCTGTGGCCTCTGAGAAAGGCTTTAGGAGCGCTTGGAGAGCACGGCCAGGGAGGGCCTAGAACTGGGTGCAGATGTCCTCAGCAGATGCCCCACCTCCCCACCCCTGCTCCCACCCCCACCAGGAACTTCTACCACATTCTCAGAGAAGGATGACCAAGGAGACGGAGATCATCTCGTCACGGCCAGGGACTGAACATCATTGGGTTTCCTTAGCTTCAGTAGCCAAATTCCCAAACCCAGAGCCTTCCTCTGTCTTTCTGTATGGGGCTGCATTACCTGCCTATTAATTCCAACAGGCAAACTGGAGCCACTGGTGGCCCGACTCATGGGGGCCACGATGGCCACGCGGGTGGGGGATGGAGCTGACTGTCTTTTCTTTGGTGGCAAGGCTGGTGGAGGACTGAAACAGATCAAGAAATCCCATCAGAACAAACACCCCAAACAAAAACTCTTTAAAAAGATCTTAGGGTACAGAATATAGGATTCTTTAATTACTAGACACTTCACACCTACTTCTTACACTCTGAATTCCATCCCACTCCCCTCTGCCAACATAAAACCCAGCAATGTCAAAAAAACTAACACTGGAAAAATCCTTTCTTCTCCTTCCACAATAAATTATGCTGGTTTTTGCTTGGCTAAGACTAACAGGCAAGCCGTTGGAAGTTCCTGTAGTGTGTGGCAAGGGAAGGTGCTGGGTCCGGGCGGGCTCTTGCCCTGCCTCTGGAGGCGCCCCTCCCAAGGAAGGTCAAACCTCCCGGGCTCCCAGAGGGCAGGGACTGGGCTCCAAGTTCTCACTGTAACAGCACTGCGTTCACCTTGCACATTCTGCCCAACCACACATCAGAGTATGTCACAAACAGAGGATGGTGCCAGGAAAAGAGAATATTACCTATTATCAACCACCCGAATGCCTGGTAAGGGGGGCTTGGGAGGTGCGACCTCTTCATCCGTAGAGTCTGGGAGCAGCTCCGCCGACTGCGACATGCTGTTCGTCTTGTTTAGAATCTCCATCTCTCGATCTGTCAGGGGGAGCTCGGACTGGCTGGATAGTTGAAAAAACAGTTGGGGTCAGAGAAGGCTGGCACACACGCAGGTCCTGAGAGGATCAGGATGTGACTGGGGCAGGGAAGTGACGGGAGGCCCGGGTGCCAAGGAGCGGGAGCCTGAACACTGTGCCCTGCCATCCATGGCAAAGACGGCGTCAAGTCTTGTTTGGTCAATAACAAAGGGCAGGAGCTGACCAGGTCCCTTGACTCTGCTTCTCAGTTTCCTTGTCTGTGAAAGGAATCCTTGGGCTGGACGATCTAAAGCTCTCTAAAGTGTTCCAAATGTGTGTTTTATGCTTTTACTAGGGGCATATAGTAGTAGAAATTGACCTCAGTTTATTTTCTTGATAAAGCTAATGCTCTCAAAGCTAAATCCCCCAAATCCAACCCTTCAAAACCCTTCGCAGTTAGGAAAGGAAGCTGGTCAGGAAAAGTGCAGGTGTGGGTCACTGCACACTCACACACTCTCCTTCGTAGGAGTCGCATGGACTATCAACATTGCGACCAGGCAACACTCCCAAACGTGTGTGAGCTGGACGCACGTGAGAGGCGGTCAGCACTCACCAGAGCTCAGGGAACACAGGCCTCGGGCCCCCACAGCCCGCCTGGCGTGGGCTGTCTGGTCTGGCTCCGTTCCCTCTCAGCGTGACCAGGGCCTGGGAGTTTAGGCAGAACTCACCTGTCAGGTTTGCAGGCTGGGGAGCTGGGTTTCACTGGGCTTGTTGGGGACGGATGCCCCTGCTTCTCGATGGTGAGCCTGACCAGCTCCTAGAGCGTGCAGGAGAAAGGCAGTGAGGCGCCAGCAGGCCCCCCGCCACAGAGCACTTGCGATGCCGGCCGGCCGGCTACCCTCTGCTGCTGAGCCTCATTTTTGTGCCAGACGCAAACCATAAATACAAGCATTATTTGACTCTGGTAATCTGCATGACTTCTCAAATACATGTTGAGAAGTTTCAAATGTGTAAGTACTTCCTCCCAGAAGGGGGAAATGATAAACCCCAATGTCTCAAAATGACTAGGATCATCACACAAATTAAATTCCCAAGAGAACACATTCCCTGTCAGTTTGTGGGGGAAGAACTACTTTTTAGCCAGTGTGGGATGTGTAGGGTGCTGTCTGTCCGAACGAGCACACCTTGGGCCGGGGGAAGGCAGGCTCCCAACGGAGCTGGCTATGGGCGTGGCGGCTGCTGGTGCACTGAGATGACCGGCTGGAAAGTTAAGGGCTTATTACCGAGCAGAGAGATGACTTTAGAAAATATTTCTTGAAGTACAAAGAAAAAAAAAAAAAAAGGGGACCAGGGCCTACTTGGGCTTTTCCCCCACCTAGGATGCCGGTTTTTCCCAGTAACAAATACCCATGTATGCACCACTCAAAAAATACAGAACATTTCCAACACTCTGTGTAGTAAACCTGCCCCTGCTCCCTTTTACTTCCGTTTCTTAGATCGCCTTTGCCTAGAACCTGATATAAACGGAATCTGGCAGTACGCACCATTCTGTGTCCAGCTTTATGGATCTCTGATTCACATGCTATAAAATGCGGCCCTTTAAAGTGTAGTCGGTGGTTCTCTGTCTGTTCACAGAGCTGTCTGACCATCACCACAATCACTTTTGGGCTTTGCATCACCCCCAGAAGAAACGACCTCCTGCCCAGCCCCTCCTCAGCGCCCTCAGCTCCCAGCCCCTGCCCACCACTGATCTACCCTCTGTCCCTGTCCGTCCCTCTTCTTGTGCTCAGTGTGACCATCCGCGCTTTGTGTGCAGGAGGTCCCTCTCGATTGCTGAGCTGCATTCCAGTGTACAGATATCCCACAACTGCTGTATCCTTTCTCCTGTTGATGGGCCTTGGGCAGGACCTGCTTGTGCGACATGGGGGGGTTCAGGCTTTCAGGATGAATGTCTATTTCTACAGCTACAGAGGAGGCGGCAATGGATGCAAGTGGGTGACAAAGCAATGTGTCCCTGAATCAGACTGCAAAGCCTCTCCAAACTGAGCGCCATGCTCGGAGTCACAGCCTGTGTGGGAAGGCAGAGTTAATATCCCTCCTAGAACAAGGAGTCTTTCAAAGACACAAAACTAGAAAAAAGATGAACACGTTAAAAGAAATACCAAAGAAAATATTCACAAATGTAAACACCAATCAATGTTCAGTAATCATTAGAGATTCTCCAGCTTTGATGGTAATGAAGTTAGCACCTTCCAGACATGGGAAGTGGGAGTAATGCTTCGGATAGCTTTTCTAGAGGCTGACTTGTCAGGTACATCAAAAGCCTTAAATGCCTGCATTCTTTTTATAATAATTTAGCCCAAGGAAAATGTCATGGATGTGTGCAAAAATTAAAACCACAAAGGATGGTCATCACAGTGTTATATGTAGTAGATAAATTAGACTACCCGATACTCGATAATTAAATATTCAATACTAGGTACTGATCATATAAATTATGGTAGAACCAAACAATGGACTATTATATTGCCAATAAAAAAACAAACTCACAAGAACATATAATAGCATAGAAAGACAATATAATACTATGCGAAGTGGGAAAATAGCCCCAGGTGGTTATAGTGGTGTACATATACTATGTCTTGGAACAAAAAACAACCAAGAGTACGTGTATTAAAAAAATATGGCTATCAAACACCTGTTATTTTGTTTTTGTTTCCCTGAATTTTCTACAGTGAACACGCATTACTTCTGAAATACTAATTAAAAAAAAACAACGAAAGGCATACTCCCTATGACCAGACTCGGTGTCACCTGAGGCCATAACACCAATCTATTCTTGGAGAAACATGGAGAAATGAGATAGCTGAGTCAAGTACTGGCAGAACAAAGGAGAATGCTAGCATTTTCCTGCTGGCTCCATTTAGAAGTTAAACAAACCTCGCAGATAGTTAAGGCCTAGCTGCCTAGCTGGAGACTATAAGGCGGAGAGAGGCGAGACTGCGTGATCAGCCTCTTGCAGCCACTGCCCAGAGGAGAGTGCCAGGTTCGCCCTGTCCTCGAAGTGCGTCGCCGGGCAGAGAGGAGCGCCACAGCATTAGGGGGAGTCAGAGGGCCGGACAACATGCCCTGAAGCCCCACGCTCACGTTCACGCTTCCTTACGAGCAGGGCAAAAGGAGCAGGCACAGTTGGCACGCTGGCACCTGCTGACGTAGGAAGAATTCCACTAATTCTCCCCTGATTCTTCAGCAACTATAATTAGAATGTCATCTTCCTGGACAGGCAGCTGTATGAACTCCACTAATGAACGAGGGTGAAGGGATCACGGAATGACAGGCACACATGTGCAAGTGTGTACTCAAACTCTGAGACCACGTCCCGGCTAGCGGTGAGCTGGCCCAGACACCCAGAGGGTGTGAGGGGGTGGGCAGTGCCTTATTCACCACCAATTTTCCAGCCCGGGCAGACCAGCCTGAGCGCTTTAGTCTCAGCTTGCCTCACTATCACAGATGGACGAGAACCCTCAGAGTGCATGGATCTGGCCCAGTGCCAACACCCTGCCCTCGTTCAGAGCTGACCAGGTGTAACCTGGCGAGAGCCCAGCCCCTCGTACTGCAGGCAGACCTCGGGGAGGGTGCCAGGCTTTCCTGTCCTTTTGAGGGGCAGGTTTGAACTGACTAAGGAAGTTGGCACCAGACTCAAGTGTCCACAGCAGCAGCTGTGAACCAGACAACCTCCAGCTCAACAAAAAGCAGTCCTCAAAAGCCAAAAAGGAAGCTATACCTTTCTAAATGAATACTACTTTATTTCCATGTTCATTTTATTTACACTGAACAGGATCACAGAGAGGCTTCCACCTTAAATGACCTTCAGCAAATCAAATACCAGCTCAGGTGCACAAGAGAGAAAGTCCCATTCATTACTATCTTCCCCTTGGCATCTGATGCCAGAGCAGACAGGGCATGCAGGGCTCCTGACAAGGTGCCATGGGCGACCCCAATGTCCTGAGGCCCACCATCACACTGCCCTGCCACAAGGGTCCTCAGGATGCCCCAAGATAGCCGGTGTCCTCCGGGTTCACACAGAGGGAAAACGTGCTGTATCTGGCACATAAGCACATAATGTCACACGCGCGTCCGCACGCAGGGGCTTGCGGCTCCTGCCCATGCCCCGTCCCGCCCTGCTGCTGCCTGGCCTCTATCACGTCTGGTCCCGTGAATCTCCTGGTTCAGGGACCAGAGTCCAGGGAGACATGTGCTCCTGGCTATGACCAGCCTCTCTACCAGCTGGCAGTTCTAAGGCAGCTTCGTCACCACGGACACTGAATACAGGCCATTGGTGGGGAGTTTCCTGCAACTCAAGAGGCTTAATGAGGTCAGAGGGGTGTCCAGCCCCGGAGTGACTTCTTCAAGGTGACAAAAGGGGCCTTTCCTGCCTGTAGCTATAGTGGGTGTGAGGCAGCAACAGAACAGAGGAGGTCTTCCCTCTCATACACGATCAGGAAGAGGCAGAGGGCCAGGCAGCCAAGGCTCTGAGCCGTGGCCTGGGGCGGCAAGTGACGCCCCACATCAGCTCTGGGAGGCCACCCCGGTCAGGAGGCACCGGCGGCACTCCTTAACGGCCTAAAAACAAGGCGGCAGGGGCAGATCTCAAACTCTGCTGCACAGGTGGGGTGCTGAGGAGACCTACGGAGCGGGGCTGCTGGCCGGGTCTGCGCGGGGGAGGGGCACAAGGACACGCCGGGCACCTTTGTGCCAAAATAATAAAATAGCGCAGCTGGGGCAAGCGTTCCAACTGAAACATTAGAAGCTTGCGGGAGTCATACGTCCCCCTCCCCAAAGGCCCTAAAGAAGCTTACAGGTCACTGAAAGACCTCTCTTGATTTCTGTAACGGAGCAGAGCAACCAGGAGGGGACAGCATATGCCAGCCCCGAACAGAGCAGCTCTGCGACAGTCCCAGCCTGGCCAGGAGGTGCCTGTACGCCCCGACGCCCTTGAGAATGAAAAAGCGGTCAGTGTTTGGTATAGTGCTCTGTGTTAGCACATTTATTAGAAAAATAACTTGGTAAATTGCTTAAAAAATAGATTAGAAGGGGTGGTAAGGAGAAAGAGAGATTATCTTGCTTGAAGCCACTTTGTTATTTAAAAAACAAGACAATAGAAATGACCCCAAAACCTGAATGTACGAAATTGAAATAGAAGTGTGATGACACCTTTGATTAAAAAGTATATCTCACACAACTCCTAACGGAAAAATGTCTACTCAGATAACTGGGTGTTTCTTTTCCCTTTTTCCTTCCCTCCCCTCCTTTTCAAAGCAGTGGAATACTTAAAACCACTGCATATTGTAATTTCTCAAATACATCTTAAGTAAGATGAACCCAACCATGTAACCACTCAAAGAACTATTTCAAATGACTGCAAAATGACAGATAACCTGAAGGTCAAAAATAACTTCGGAACATTTAAAGTAATTTTTTAATAATCAAGTTGGAGGTAGCTGGTGTTTGCTGTTCTGAAACTGTTGTGTTTGTTTTGTGGGAAAAAGCCAATGAGTCATTCTGTGGATACCACTGGGATTTTCAGTGTTGGGGAGGGAGAAAATTAAGATGTGAGTTTGATGAGGTTAAGTCAACACCCGGCTGGTCCTGAGTGAGAACTGGAAGTACTAGCATAAGGTCAAGATGCACTGTCTCAGAGAAACAAAGCACGGGACTGTCAGCAGCAACGAGAAACCTTAGCACTCGGATTGTGGTCTTTAAGTGCCATTTCCCAATAAGGGAACCAGGACCCCTTAGAGGAAGAGCCGACCCCTG